GCTCTGCCGATGGAGCCATGTAGATTAGTTTACTTGAAAAAGGGAAATGAAGCGGTAATTTAAATAATGGCCGCTTAATTTAAATAAAAATGGCCGCCGCGTTTTGCCGACTCGGCACTTTGTCGGCAAAAAGCGGCAGTCTAGAGGGGGTTCTGTCGAGAAAGAAAGCCTTTTTCGACAGATCCTGTAAACCTCCTTGCAAGAGGCATAAGGGCTCTGTCGAAAAAGGCTTTCTTTCTCGACAGAACCCCCTCTAGACTGCCGCTTTTTGCAGACAAAGTGCTGAGTCGGCAAAACGCAGCGGCCATTTTTATGCAAATTAGGTGCGGGATATTTAAATCCCTGCCTCATTTGCAATGTGAACCTGCCTAATCTGCATCCCTCTGCCGACAGAGGGATGCAGTCTAGACATACCCTCAGAGATCCCTTGAGACTGTCACTTCATGGGCTGATCTAGGGATCTCTGTATTCCAACCTATAACACTCCATGAAATAAAGACTGCTTGAAATAATGCTGACATTCCCTCAAAACTGGGACATGGTCATCAGCATATGCAGAGACTTTCACTGGAGCACAAGCTGAAACAGGCAGAGAAGGGCCACAATAACTCAGGCTAGGATCATCCTTCTCTGATTTCCCAACAGACTGGAAAGGGAATATTTTTGAACCACAGAGGGAAAATACAGATGCAGCTGGATATAAACTGATATAAGTTTAAATTTGAAATTAGATAGTTTTCTAACCATCATAGGGCTGAAGTTCTGAACAGCCTTCTGTGGGGAAAATGGGGGCAAAAAAATCTAACCAGCCTCAAGGCTGAGCTTGATACGTTTCTAGAGTGGATGGTATGATGAAATTGCAACTGCTCTGCAACTGCTAGCAGCAAATGTCTCCAGTGGCTGTGATGAGACAATAGATAGCAAGGGCTGTGAGTTACCACAGAAAACTAATTCCCAGGTTTCTGTCTCATGGGCCTTGCCCGCATGGTCAGGGTCTGATTTCTAGTTTTGGAGATGGGGATGAATTTTCCCCTCGATCAGATTGGTAGAGACCAGGGGCAGTGCACTGGAGGCACAAAAGGGCATGTGGCCCCAAATGCCATGGGCAGGAGGAGCGAGGGGCCAGAAGCAGGAGTAGTGTTTCCCTGTACTCACTAGCAGCAGCTAGCAGAGGGAAGCAGAGTGACATGACCCTAGTCTGCTCTGTTCTCCCAGCTCCCGGTCACATTGCTCAGGGGAAAGGTGGAATGGTACCCTACACTCACAGGGTGGAAAGCAGAGTGACATGGCCAGGAGTCGTGGGAGCAAAGTGAGCTGGGGCCGCATCACTCCACTTCATCCCACTACTGCCAGTTATTGGGGGTGGGGGGAGAACCAACTGCTGAACTGCTGCTGATGTCAGACCAGCGCTAGTCCCCCAGGCCATGTCACTTGGGGGAGGAAGCAGAGCAGGAGTGGGGAGGTGAAGATGAGGGGCAGGCTACAGGTGTCACAGGGAGGAGTCATGTAGAAGGAGGTAGGCATGTTGCCAGTGCCATCCCTGTGTTATTCCTCAGCAGTCACCTCTGGTTGAAACCCTAAGATTTTTCCACTTTCCTCTGTACCATGAGACACAGGTCACTTGCATGTGTAAGTGGTAAATTCTCTGTAACTTGAAGTGTTTAAATCATTATCTGAGGACTTCATAACTCAGTCTGAGGTTATGGGTCCATTCTATTACAGGAGTGGATGGGTGAGGTTCTGCAATGTGCA